ACCATATCCGGCCAGATTGTTTCAATACATACAAAGATTTATTTAATTTTACCGAATATACTTCACGAGAAGTAGGAGTTTGTGCTTCTGGCACCTTAAACCCTTCTGGGATTTTCATATAAATATCATTCTCAAGGGAACCATATAAATAGGCGGTAACTACATCCATCAGACGCATCTCCAATTTTTCATGTGTTGCCAGACTTATTAGATAATGGAATGTAATTGCATCAACCACAGGAGAGTATGTTTCTTCATAATCAATTCCAGGCCTTTGGGTAAAACCTTGTGCAACAAGTCTTGCTTTATATCTCACAACTTCATTCTTCTCATTTCTTTTGCGCACAAATACCCATTTGTATCCCACTAGTCTTACTCCGTTTGGTGTACGGACTACAGGTCCAAAAACTTTTCGTTGAGTAAGAGAATTAAGCTCTTTGTTTATTGCATCTTTCCATTTTGGCCAATCTTTTCTATTTCTACATCCATCTATAGATTTAGGTTCAACATCCTCATTTTCTTCCATAATCTTGCACGCAACATGATATGAAAAAGTATCGTCGATGTCTATCTTATTTCGGTTCCATCTTATTCCTGTCATGACATAATTTATTGAGATCTCTTCATTTTCATAATTTTCAGGTACCTCAGTTTCTTTTGTTATGTCATTGGGCTCTTCTGGAGCTTCATTAATCTTTTCAAAAGATTATGTTTTCTCTTTTGGACCATCAATTATATTTGCTCCCTTTCGTTTTCGAGAATTTTTATCTTTGGAACCGGTTGGTCTTCCACGCTTCAGGTGTGCCTTTGATTCATTTGTAGTTGTATTTTTTCCTTCTGGGATATCAATTCTAACTGGAGCGTTTACAACTGGTAAATGAGACTTTGTTACTCTCTTAGGGTCAGTAAATGCATCTAGCAATTGATTTGCTATATTTTGTAAATGAATTATCTTTTTCACTTCAAGTTCACATTGACTTGAACGAGGATCTAACACTGAAAGTGATAATTCATTCCAAGAGATTTTATTCTCCAGCTTCTTTATTTCTTCCCCTAATGTTGGAAAAACTGATTCATCAAAATGACAATCGTCAAATCTAGTTGTAAATAAATCTCCAGTTGATGGTTCTAAATATTTTACTATAGATGGAGATTCGTATCCAACATAAATTCCCATTCTTCTTTGAGGACCCATTTTTGTGCGGTGAGGTGGAGAAATGGGTACATAAATTGCACATCCGAACGTCCTTAGATGGGAAATATTTGGTACATGGCCGTAAACCAGTTGAATAGGGGAGAACTTATGATAACTACTTGGCCTGATGCGTATAAGTGATGCCGCATGTAAAATTGCATGTCCCCATGTCGATGTAGGAAGTTTAGAATGCATTAGTAATGTTCTTGCAATTAATTGAAGGCATTTGATTAACGACTCAGCTAAACCATTTTGTGTATGAACATATGCAACAGGATGTTCAATAGTTATCCCAATCGACATGCAATAGTCATTAAAAGCTTGTGATGTAAATTCTCCAGCATTGTCAAGTCGAATTTTCTTAATTGGGTAATCGGGAAAATGTGCCCTTAGGCGGATTATTTGTGCTAGTAATCTTGCGAAAGCGAGATTACGGCTAGATAATAAGCACACATGTGACCATCTAGTTGACGCGTCAATTAAGACCATAAAATATCTAAATGGTCCACATGGTGGATGAATTGGTCCACATATATCCCCTTGAATTCTTTCTAAAAAACTAGGACTTTCATACCCAACTTTATTCAATGATGGACGGAAAATTAATTTTCCTTGAGAACATGCAACACAAGACAATTCATTAGCTTGAAAAATCTTCTGGTTTTTCAAGGAATGTCCACTTGAACTTTCAATTATTTTGCGCATCATAACTGATTCGGGATGGCCCAACCGGTCATGCCAAACTTTGTAGATGTTATCATACCTTTTATTTTCAATAGCATGAGATTCAATCATTCTAATATTTGTATAATACAATCCGAAGGACAATACGGGTAATTTTTCCAAAAGACTTTTCTTACCCGATATCATTTTCGTAATATTGAGATACTCTTTATCACCATCATTGGTTGTTTCAACATGATATCTGTTGGACCGAATATCCTTAAAACTTAATAAATTTCTTGATGATTTTAATGAAAATAATGCATCACCAATTGTAATTATTGTCACTTGTGGTAATACTATATTCACTCTTCCAGAGCCTTCGATCTTGGTGATTTAGACGAAAATAAAGCATCACTAATTTGTAATTATTGTCCCTTGTTGTAATATTATATTCGCTCTTCTGGAGCCTTCAATCATTTTTGCATTACCTGTTATTATATTAACATTTTATTCTCTAATTGATAAGTAAGCAAAATACTTTTCATTATTAAAAATGTTCTGTGTTATTGCATTGTCTGCAAGAAATATATCTTCATTATTTCTTTTACGAATATCCATATTTCTTTTCAATAAATAAATAAAACAAAAGAAACATTCGACTTAAAGAAATAAAGTCATATTTTATTAATTTGGGAAGATTGTGACGACATCATTTCTCATGAAACAAATATATCATAAAAACATATTAAATATCATGAAACAAAACTACACATTATTCTAATCAATCACCATCCATATCACCACTTGTCCCTTCTAGGTAGACAAGAAAATCGATAACATCCAAATGTGTCAATTCTGGCTGGTCTTAATGAATATCACTTTGAAAAAAAATTGTTTCGATATTTTTCTTTATATTTTAGAGAAGCTTGATAAAGATCAACAAAATGCTTTGGTAAGCGGCATGTACAAGACCAATGATCGGTCATTCCACATTAGTGATAAACATTTTCATTTTTTTTTTTTTTGCCTTTACCACTTTTATCATTAGGATGTGGATTTTTGTTGTTTTCCAAGTTCTGGTGGTTACTTGTAATCTTGTTATTTTTATGATAATTATGATAACCTCCACGACCTCGGTTAGACTCATGACTATTATGATTATATGAGTTGCATTCACTTCAGGGAATGTACTAGAACCGGTCGGGATTGATTGATCATTTTTCATCAATTCCACGACCTCAGTTAGACTCATGACTATTATGATTATATGCGTTACATTCACTTCAGGGAATGTACTAGAACCGGTCGGGATTGATAGATAAATTTTCATCAATAACTCATTGTTTTGTTTAGCTACAAGAAGACATGAGATTAATTCATATTTATTTTAAACATTTCTCATGATATTGCTACTGCAGGAGCATGTTAGTAGTATGAAAACTAGAGAAAGTTTTCTCTAGCATGGTTTTCCATAATGACAATAGAAATCAAAATAAAGACTTGTATGTTAAGAATTGTTAGTTAAGAAATTCCATAAAATAAGTTGCAAGCATTGACATGTAAAATTATAAAAAATACATACCTGAAAATGACAAGAACAATAAGGAGTTAGCTCTACGGTAGAGTCGTGCTGATAACGTGTTATAAAATATGATCAAATAACAAGATAAATTATAAAGTAAAGAAAGACATGAGAGTAGAAAGAACTTTTATTTCAATACTTGTGATGAAATCATCAAGTGCCTAATACATATGGCTCACTATTTATACTTCAAGTGCCTAATACATATGGCTCACTATTTATACTATCTAAATAAGATGAAAGATGAACTATAATATGAATGCACATTATGATGGTGTATTATTACATTCATAAAACACATTGAAATGGTTGTTACTAATGCTAAATAATGATGGGGAATTATGGGAGAAATAGAGAATCCAATAGTTATTCACAAACTAATATTTCATAACAAAAATGTCATTTAAAGTTTACTAGAAACCAAAACTAAGAAAAAATTCTGATTTTGAACCATGCATGTTGGAAACTTTTTAAATTTTATCCACATTTTTTTTAACACCACACAGGCGACTCTTGAAGTTTTGTCTAATTTTCGTCATTCGTTACTCATACACCAAGCTTCTAGTGGATAGGCAATAGTAAGTTGTGTTACTCTGCTGCTGCTTTATTCCTCTTATAGTGCTGCCCTATGTCAAACCAAGCTTCAGTCGTTTTCGTCGATGCCCCTACTGTTTATCGATCATTTATTCTAGGACTGGTTCAGGTTGTTTTTCATTTATATATGTAGTTCTTGTTTCTTCTTGACCATTTGTCCACCTGTAAAACTATCTTTTTATTTTTGCCCGATTGCTGCAGGTTGTGTTTTAGTTAATTTTATCTTCTTTGTTCTAAAGAAAACATGGTTCGTTACCAAATATATATTATTTATATATACAAAAATCATATTACGACGTAACTATTTTTATGATTTTCTTGAAAAAAATTGAAGCGATGCATGTTACTAGCTAGTCTAGTTTTCGTTTGTTAATGAAAATGTGCTGTTCAAAACTAAATAAATAAATAAACAAAATAATAAAAAAAAAAATTGTTTCTAGAACAGTTTTAGTACTATAAGCTTTGGCTGGCTCCGCATTCATATGCGGCACCTAACTCTTGTTTTATATTAAAAAAAAAAAAACTGTCTACTACGCTTACTTGCCTGCTAGACCCATGTTGGAAAAAAAATAAAAAAATTCATTGAGATTTCTAGTTTTCGCACATGCACAAATCACTAAAACAAGCTCCTCGCAACTATAAAATGCTTACCTCTCCTCAAACTCAATCTCACTCTTCAAAAATCTCACTTCTCCATTTCTTCTTGTCTCGATCGCTGCTGCATTCACCTTCGTGTATCACCTCCGACGCCTGACTCTTCGTGTAAAATCTCGTTCCCATAATATGAATGATCTCTTAGCACTTAATTAATAATTTCATTTTCACATTTGTAGTCACACTTAACGTTGAAATATTTGTTGTTAATTGTTATATATATACTCTGCATGGTATCTCTATCATTAATCGGTTTGTATATTCTGGTATTTATTGACGCAGTGTAGCCTCCAAAACAACACAGGAAAAATGGTTGCCAATAAATTGACAGAAAAGACCGAAGTTGTCGATAACTTGAAAGGAAAGACGGAAGTTGTCGATACCTTGAAAGAAAAGGTGGTCGCTATCGATGATAATCTGTCTGCATGCACACTTGACTACGACAGGAAAGCTGAGCTTATAGCATTTGATGAAACCAAATCTGGTGTCAAAGGACTTGTAGATGCTGGCATAACAGAGGTGCCTCGGATCTTCCGTCTACCTTCACCTGAAAACCCAAACTCCGATCAAAAGTCGCCACCAGAGCACAGTCTTCCGGTCATCAACCTTGAAGGAATCAAGGAAGATCCGATCCGGCGAAAGGAGGTGGTGAAGGAAATCAAGGAGGCTTTGGGGAGTTGGGGGTTCTTTCAAATGGTGAATCATGAAGTTCCGATTAGCGTAATGGAGGAGATGAAAAAAGGAGTTTTAGGGTTTTTTGAACAGGATAATGAGGTGAAGAAGCAGTGGTATACAAGAGACAGCAGTGGGAAAACGAGGGTGGTTTACAACAGCAATTTCGACTTGTATTCTGCTCCGGTGACAAACTGGCGAGACTCTTTCTTGTGCACCATGTATCCTAATCCTCCTCAGCCAGACGAGTTGCCTCCTCAATGCAGGTATTGACTTTTAATATATTTTATTTCAGTAAAATAGTATCATCATGCAATGGATCAAAGTAACGCTTTTACAAAGGACATGTAAAGTCGAGTTTAAGTCGCCCACATTTTTTTGGTATGTTATTTCTTCAAAATCCTTTGAAAATAGTCATTAATTAATTACAAAAAACATTATATAGTTTTTATGAATAAAATAATCTAGAATGTTTTTAGAAATGTAAAAAGAAAAAAAATTATTATGATTTCAAATTTGTTAAAATTAATGTAAAAAGAAAAAGTTAAATTTAGGGTTATGTAAACATGTGTACTTTGATAAATTATTGTTAACCATTGCCCTGAAGGCTACTTAATTTTGATTAATTATAAATAAACCCTAATAAATAAAACCGTAGGTGACCTGTGGTTTATTTTTAATTTTTGTCAACTAAACTATTCATCATTATTATTGATAACGATGGCATTAAATGAAGTCCAAAATATCAGTCCAAGTTTTGAGAACATGATCGCCTTAGATCTGGTCTTTGTGACATCATTTTTTATATAATAATTAACATATATTCAACTTGTAAATATATAATTATATAATAGATAATATAAATGATGTTTTTCATTATTATTTCAAATAAACTTGTAATTAATGGCGATTGTTTCTTGTACAGTTTGAATGTTTAATACTTCTACATGTATAAGTGGTAAAGACTAATATACACAAATACTAGTGTGTAAGCTTTAACTAAACGACCAAACCATATCGACCCAAATAGATCCTCAGTCTTGAAGCCTTGATCTGACCCGATCAACGAGCGTGAAATTTTTTAAGGACCCATTTTGAGTATTTTTTCAGGATCGTTCCAAATTCATATCTACAGATAGATTTTGGCATGATATGTATTTTTTGTTTGATTGGGATATACATACACTTGCAGAGATATTTTGTTGGAGTACTCAAACCATGTAATGAAACTCGGACGTGCTGTTCTCGAATTGATGTCGGAGGCTCTGGGGCTGGACTCGAATTACCTTTTAGATTTGGGATGTGCAGAAGGGCTTTCTATTGGCAACCATTACTATCCTCCTTGCCCACAACCTGAGCTAACGATTGGCACCCTTGAACACACCGATGCCGGGTTCATTACCATTCTTCAACAAGATCATATCGGTGGCCTTAAGGTCTTTTATCAAAACGAATGGACTGATGTTCCAACTATACCAGGAGCCTTTGTAGTGAATGCTGGAGATCTTTTACAGGCATCTCTCTCTCTCTCTCTCTCTCTCTCTCTCTCTCTCTCTCTCTCTCTCTCTCCAATATAGTTTATTGTCCTTAAATCGTTAAGCGTATATTGTACTAATATATAGCATTCCTTGAAATTTTATAGCTAGTTACAAATGACAACTTTGTAAGTTCACGACACAAAGTGATGGCAAACAAGGCTGGTCCAAGGATATCGATGGCATCGTTCTTTATGAGATACCTGACTGATACAGGAAAGGTATTGGGACCAATCAAGGAGTTGCTTTCTGAAGATAATCCAGCCAAGTATAGAGAAACAACAGAAAAAGAATTTTCGAGTCACTACCATCAGAAAGGACTTACTAAAATTTCCGCTCTTATGCATTTCAAGATCTAGCTCAATTATATGACTTAAATTGGCTCCAAGATGAAGTTCTCCTTTTCTCGTTCGACTCGTGGTCACCTAATCTATCTTTAAAATTGTTTCTTTGAATTACAATAAAAGTATTATGTTTTAATAAGAAGTTGAGAAAAAAAATTAGTGGCTATATCGTACCTAATTCACTACGCAATCAAATGTAATGACAAACGTTGAACGCTTTAGCGGCTTCAAAAATTCCAAGTATTGTAAAGGTGAATTTAACTGTTGGACTTTGGTATATTTGGTTATGTGCACGGTTGTTCCTCCCTCGTATAAAGAATACGAGTATAAGGAAGTTATTTTGAAGTGTTTTATATTATAGGCCACCAGAAGTCAGAAACAACTAATAATAACTATAGTTTCTAAAGTATTAGAGAAGTCACGCGAACCTATAATTTATCGATACAAATATATATAATAAATTAAAATTTTCAAGATATAGTGAGCTTTATTTTCAAATCGTACAATCTTTAATCTTTTGGTGACCTATTGTTCACAAACACATTATAGAGTTTGTTGCTTAAAAACTCTAAGATAAACAAAAGATAAACAAATTAATTCAATAGCGACCAAAACTTCGACTAAAATCTTGCAAAATCTTTGGATTACCTTCACCTGAAAACCAAAACTTTGAACAAAAGTCGCCATGTAACATCCCGAGTCCAGGAGTGCGAGTCCGGGGTTCAAAGTGTAAAATTTGAAGGGCAACTCAGCGAGTCCATGGGTGGACTCGGCGAGTAGGGTCGCGACTCAGATCGCGTGTTAAGTGGCCAACTCGGTGAGTCCAAAGCTGGACTCGACGAGTAGGCGATGTGCGAAGAAAACCCTAATTTCGGGGGATGAGCCCTACATAAAGGACATTATACCCTCTCCCCAGCTTCCTTACCTTCCCTTGAAGTCCAGAAAACCCTAGAAACGTGATTGTGAAGGATTTGAGTGTATTTGAGCCTTGGAGAAGAAAGTTGGAGGAAGATCTTGGAGTGTTAGGAGGCTTGGAGCAAGGGGCATTTCTTAGATTTGGATTCCTTGTTGTTGGGGGCTTCTCTTTGAGGTATTATCTCATTTTTGGCCTGCTATTCATGTAGATTCATCATTTTTGGGTTGTATGGAAAGTTTGGCTTGTGGTATACAGAGTTTGAAGGTTAGATCTGAGGTTGCTACCTTAGATCGGGAATGGAGAAGGTCTAGAGTGCATTAAAGTCCCTGTTATTGAGTGATTGATGAAGCCATCTTGTCCCAAACCCTATCCCTAGAGTGTAAAATGCCTAGATCTCTTTGGATTCACGTAAAGTTTGCCACTTTACGTGATGGAAGGGTTGTAGAAGGGTAGATCTACATTTTGGATCAAATGCATGGCCTGAAAGGCTTCTGTATGGGTTAAGAACAAGTGGTACTCGGCGAGTCAGAAGGGTGTACTCGGCGAGTTGCTTAAAGGCGGGCAAGAACTCGACGAGTTTGAAGAACAACTCGGCGAGTTGGTTGAAGATAGCCTTGGACTCGGCAAGTCTGTTCTTGAGGTCTTAGCCTTTCCTGGTTAAGATAAGAATCGGTGAGTCAAGGGGTGACTCAGTGAGTTGGAAGGGGGTCCTTTTTAGTATTGGGGGTCTCAGCGAGTCAGCGGGCTGACTCGGCGAGTAGAGTCAGCCAGAAGGTTGACTTTGGCTTTGACTTTGACCAAGAGTTGACCAGTTGACTTCTAAGGGAATTTTGGTAATTGTTGGATTTTGTTTGATTTCAGTGTTGGTGCTAGCCAGTGGTGGAGATCGTGTCAGTGGTCGGAGCATCTCGATCTTATCTTTCCAGTCAGCAGTTGCGAGGTGAGTTATCCTCACTATATCAACAGGGTCTAAGGCACCAAGGCTGGTCCTTTATCGGATTGTAATCCGAGTATTGTTGTTATGTTGCTGTTTTACTATGTTTGCATCCTGGTAGTTAGGATGGTATTCGTTAGAGACCTGGTTAAGGTCGGTATCCTGGTATATAGGATGATGCTATGCTAGTGACCGGTTAGGTCGGTATCCTACTTAGAGTATGTTGTGTTACGTGATCTGCTAGATCGGTTTGATTGAATATGAATTGTTATATGATTGTATGTTTATGTGCATATGGTTGTTTGACTGGAGTTGGGTTGAGGTGGGACCTGCTTTGTGTTGTAGGCCAACATACCCAGGGTGGACCGGTTATTCCGAAGGCCCATCGAGTGGTCCGGATAGGCTGTAGGCCCCTAGAGGCCGGACCAAACGTGCCGAGGCTCGGAGAGTGGACCAAACTGACTGAAGGCTCGGTGCGGGCGGACCAGTCATACTGTAGACTCAGAGAGTGGACCAGGTGGATTGAAGGCCCGGTGCAGGCGGACCAACCACCCTGCAGACTCGGTGTATATGGCTAGACGCGAAGGGTGGACCAGGTGGATTGTTGGCCGGTTTGGCAGATCAGTCACATAGTGGACCCGATATGCATGGCTGTTCTGTGATTCGATATGATATAGCATGTTATGTGTGTGGTATATGTGGTTGGTATTTTGGGGGTATCTTTGTAAGCTTTCGGGCTTACAATTGTGGTTTAATGTTTTTCAGGTTCTCCAGGAGACCGTGGCAAGGCAAAGGCGTGATCCTACCGCTCCTCGTGTTTATGTTTTATGATATGGACCTGGGAATACTCTGATAATAAATGTATTGAAAACCTTTTTGTAATAACGTGATTAAAATGGGTTGTTTTTTAAAAGTTAAATTTTGTTGAAATTTTTGGTCGTTACAAGTTGGTATCAGAGCCTTGGTTTGAGTGAATTGGAGGAACATTCGTGTGAATCCAGTCTCAAATCAGGGAGAGTTTTTTTTAAAGAGAATTTAAAATGGGTTTCAAATAAAGTAAAAGGAGGACGCGGAGGTACGATCAGCCGGAGCCAGTAAGTAACCCCAAAATGCCATACATGATATTTGTTTTCGAGCTTTGATAGAACAACATGCTAGTACTAGGCTAGGGATCTTCAGGGTATCATGATAATGTTGCCTGTTTTATGATGCCTGCTAGCCTAGGGTTTCCTTCTATATGAGATTTTCAGTGTTCCTCTAGGAGTGAGGATTGAGCGCTTGCTATGTATATTTGTCACTAGGGTGTTGTGGTAGTACTTCATACAAATATGGGTAGGTGTGGAAGGTAGTATGGGCCCGTACTACTGAAAGCACAGGACCCATACGTGTATCAGGGAAACCATGGCCTCTACAGTTAGGTTGGGAGTTGGTTCCCGGGTTATTGGGAAGTGTCTGAGATTTTGTGATGTTTTTCAGTATGGTAGTCACGAGGCATGATGGGAGCGGATTCGGGTTGGGATCGGGAGCAGGAGAGGGAGATCAGGGCGGGTCTGCACTGCCCAAGGTTGTTGGTCAGATGAGCACAAGCGAGTTGGATGCTAGGATACGTGAGATCCTTCATGATGAGGTTGTTGCGTTGTTCCGGGCCGAGCTGCCTGAACTGTTTGGGTCAATCAAGACCGCCATGGTGGAGTATTTTGATGAGCGTTATGCAGCTCTCACAGAGACGGCTGTCGCGGCGGCTACAGCGGCTGGAGCAGCGGCAGGGGAAGGAGCTGGTAGAGGTTTCCAGTATCGGGACTTCGATAATACGAAGCCCCCTACCTTTGATGGAGTTCAGGACCCGTTTGTTGCTATGAGATGGTTTTCAGACGTGGAAGGGTGTTTCTTCACATGTTCATGCCCTACTGACCAGAGGGTGAGGTGTGCTCTAAACCTATTGAGGCTTGGGGCGAAGGATTGGTGGAGATTGACCACGGGGTCATATTCGGATGCTCAGAGGGCTGCGGTTTGATGGGATCAGTTCTGAGAGATGTTTAGCACTCATTATGTTCCACGGGTTGAGAGGGAGAGATTGGCTCAGCAGTTCCTTGAGTTGAAGCAAGATTCGGAGTTGGTGACGGAGATCACCAGGATGTTCACTAAGAGGGCGATGTTTTGCCCCGAGTTTGCTTTGGAGCAGGCTCAGATGTCCCGATATCTGAGTATGCTCAAGAGGGATATCAGACAATTCGTGTCTACGCAGAGGTGCGAGACCTTGTTAGAGTTGCAGGAGGCCGCCAGGCGGCGTGAGTTGGAGATTGAGTTGCAGTTGCGAGAGCAGAGGCAGGCTCCGGTGCAGTCGCAGCCGGTGCCAAAACGGTCTAAGACCGTCGATTCTAGATTGGGAGATCAGAGAAGCCACACTTGTGGGAAGTGTGGGAAGGGTCACACCGGAGTTTGTTGGTCCGATGGTGCATGTCGCAAGTGCGGAAGGGAGGGGCACTATGCGAGGGATTGTCGACAGGCAGTCCCGAGTCGGGATTTGAGGATCTGTTATCATTGTCATCAGGTTGGGCACTTGAGGGTCAACTGTCCACAGCTTACTGCAGGATCGGTGTAGACTCCAGCACCGGCCACGTTGAGGATCACGGGTGGAGGTCAGGGTGGAGCGGAGCCCCCAAGGGCTCAGGGTCGTGCTTTTCAGCTTACAGCGGAGGAGGTCAGGGCAGTGCCGGATGCAGCTGCGGGTATGTTTCTTCTTGTTGTCTTATTATTTTATGATTATTGTGGAGTATTGTTTATCTGCTAGTCTCGTTGCGTGGTCTTCGGTATTGTATTCTTTGATTTTGAAGGTTATGGCATGGTTATGGGCTTAGTGTTAGAAATTTTGTTGGTTATCATTCATGAGGGTTGTTCGTGGGAATCGGGTGTTGGTCTGGATGTTGGGTAGCATCTACAGTCTGCGGAGTGCTTAGCTAAAGATCGAGTTTCTTTCGAGTCCGGGGTGATCAGTGTTGATGTGGGATTTGTGAAGGTTGCTCGTGTTAGTGGGAATCGGTTCGCGTGTAAGTGTTTGTGTCGGGAAGGTTGTTGAGGAAGGTCGCTAATGGCGACTGGTGGTTGATAGTCAGTGCTCTAAGTGGGGGAGAATTGGAGAATTCTCCGGGAAAGATCGATGAGTAT